CAAATCCTAAATCCCCCCTGGAAGGACCCAAATCCTCCCTGGAGGGACCCAAATCCCCCTGGAAGGACCCAAATCCCCCTGGAAGGACCCAAATCCCCCTGGAAGGACCCAAATCCCCCTGGAAGGACCCAAATCCCCCCTGGACCCCCTTCCCATGGCCAGAGCGCGCTGGAATCCCGGATCCAGCTGGGAATATCTGGGATGAGCCTTGGCCAAGCCAAGTGTCCCCACTTGGGGACATTTTTGGGGACACTTTTGGGGGGCTGTGGTGGCCACGACCCTGAGCCAGGAGGGAATCCCGGCCCTCAGCTCCCACTGGTGGAAACGTCGGGAATTCTCTGGGGGAAACATCGGGAACTGGCTGGTGGAAAAAAATCAGGAATTCTCAGGTAAAACATCGGGAATTCACTGGTGAGAACTTCGGGAATTCAGTGGTAAAAGGTCTGGAATTGGCTGGTAAAACATCGGGAATTCTCTGGTGGAAACTTCAGGAACTGGCTGGTGGAAAAATCAGGAATTCTCGGGTAAAACATCGGGAATTCTCTGGTGGAAACTTCAGGAACTGGCTGGTGGAAAAATCAGGAATTCTCGGGTAAAACATCGGGAATTCTCTGGTGGAAACTTCAGGACGTGGCTGTGCCTCCGGCCGGGAGCAGCAGGAGGAGAATCCCCCGATTGTGGGGCCGGCCCTGAGTCACATCCCGACCCTGAAAGGTCCCTTTGTCCCCATCCCGGCCCCGGCGCCGCCCGGCCGAGCCTGGGGAGCGCCGGGAGCCCGGGGAGGGCCTGGGAAGGGCCCCAGAACTGCCCTGACACCCCAGGTTTGGGGATTCTAGCCCGGATTTTGGGGTGCCCGCCCAGATTTTGGGGTTTCAGGCCGGATTTTGTGGTGCTACACCAGATTTTGAGATTCTAGCCCAGATTTTGGGGTGCCCGCCCAGATTTCTGGGTGCCCCCACCGAATTTTGGAGTTCCAGACCAGATTTCGGGGTGTCAGTCCAGATTTTGGGGTGCTCAGACCAGATTTTGGGGTTCTAGCTCAGATTTTGGGATTCTAGCCTAGATTTTGGGGTGCCAGCCCAAATTTTGGGATTCCAGCCCAAGTTTTCGGGTTCCAGCCCAGATTTTGGGGGTCAAGCCCAGATTTTGGGATTCTAGCTCAGATTTTGGGGTGCCAGCCCAGATTTTTGGGGTTCCAGCCCAGATTTTGGGATTCTAGCCCAGATTTTAGGGTGCTCAGACCCGATTCTGGGGTTCTAGCCCAGATTTTGGGGATCAAGCCCGGATTTTGGGGTACCCACCCAGATTTAGGGGTTCTAGCTCAGATTTTGGGGTGCCAGCCCAGATTTTTGGGGTTCCAGCCCAAGTTTTCGGGTGCCAGCCCCCCATTCCCGCGCTGGATTTGGGATCCGACCCCTCCAGAGGAAGCTGCCCCCGCCCCGACCCCAGCCTGGGATCCAGCCCAGCGGTTCCGGGACGAATTCCCGCAGTTTTTCCCACTTTCCAGGGAGGTCTGGGATGTTTTTCGCTCCCGGCCCCTCTGGCATCAGCTGGGCTCGGCTCGGGTTTCTCCCCCCGCGCATTTCCAGCCCCGCAGCCGCCGTTCCCACCGGGGGGAGCTCGGGAAGCTCGGCCTGGGTGGGAACACGCGGATCCAGCCGCGATCCCGGGGAAGCAGAGCCGGGATCGCCCCGAGAGGGGCCGGGAGGGCTCCGGAGGCTCCGAAAAACGGGGAGAGGGGAGGCTGGAAAAGGGAATTGAGACCCCGGGACAGAGGGAAAGGGATGGGGGATGAGAGAGGGGATGGGAAGAAAATCCCTGCTGCAATCAGGGGGAAATCCAGTGAAATTCCCAATGAAATGGGGAAATCCAGTGAAATTCCCACTGGAATTGGGAAAATCCAGTGAAATTCCCACTGAAATGGGGAAATCCGGAGAAATTCCCACTGGAATTGGGAAATCCAGTGAAATTCCCACTGAAATGGGGAAATCCGGTGAAATTCCCACTGAAATGGGGGAATCCAGAGAAATTCCCACTGGAATGGGGAAATCCAGTGAAATTCCCACTGGAATTGGGGACATTCCCGCTGGAACTGGGGAGATTCCTGCTGGAATTGGGAGATTTCCACTGGAATTGGGAGATTCCTGGTGGAATTGGGAGAATTCCACTGGAACTGGGGACATTCCCGCTGGAATTGGGGAGATTCCCGCTGGAATTGGGGAGATTCCTGCTGGAATTCAGCTCCAGTGGTGCCAATTCCCTCAGCCCCAGCCCCCCTGGGAGTGGGGAAAATGAGGAAAACTTCCCCAAAATCCATAAAATCCCCGGGGGAGGATGGACATCTCCAGAGTGATGACATCACCGGCCTGGAAAAGCTCGGCCTCGTGTCCCGTCCTGGGATTAATTGGATTAATTACCCGGGTTAATCACGGCTGAGTCAGCGCTGGACACCGACGATCCCGATTTTTACCTGGAAAAACCATCCCTGGCTTCATCCCAGCACAGCTGGGGGGAGGGAGCTCGGTTTTCCAGCCAGGAAAATTCCATTTTTTCCATGGAATTGGGGATTTTCCCTGCCCTGCTGGCAGCCCCGCTGCCCCCCACAGGCTCCCCGATATTTCGATGTTTTTCCCAAAGAAAATCCCCCAGATTTTCCCTGAATTCCCAGCTCAGGGAGCTGCCAGGCCTCGGACAGATGTTTTCCATAAATAACCAAACAAGGAGCGCACGGGAACGGGGAAAGCAAATCCAATTAGGCTGGAGAAATTCTCTGGAAAAGGGCTGAGCTTTAATCAGCTCCGTATCAAAATAACAGATTTTAGCCCCGAATTCCGCTTTTTTTCCAGACAAAACCTGGCTGGGAGCGTGTCCCCGTCCCTCTCTCCCTAAATCTCTGCCCAATCTCCTCATCCCAACCCTTCAGAAAAAAAACCCAGGAATATCTGAGCCAAGAAAAATTCAAAATGCTGGGGGGAAAAAAGGGTTTTGTCGACAGAAGGGAGAAAGCTTCAGAGTTCGCTCGATTTTCTCCAATAAAAATTGATTTTTCTCCTGCTGCTGGCTGGGAATTTGGCTCGGGATCGGGATCCCCTGGGACTGGGATTCGCAGTGTGGGTTTCACTCAAATGGACAATTTGTTGCTTTAATTGGTTAAAACCTCAAAAGCCACAACAAGAGCGGCGGGGGAGCCGCGGGAGCCGATCCCGATCCCGATCCCGCCCGGGGGCTGGGGGGGTCCCCGCCCCCTCAAATCCCCCCCGGTTTTGGCCACCCGGCCCCAGTGCCCCAAACCCGGCGGGGGAGGCTGAGGAGGAGCCCCGGGCAGGGGGAACTGGAGCAGGGATCGGCTTGGAACGGGATGGAAAATGAAAAAAATGAAAAATCCACAGAGAAAAATTGTCCCGGGGTCACGGAGCAAGTCACTCCTTCCTTCCTTCCTTCCTTCCTTCCTTCCTTCCTTCCTTCCTTCCTTCCATTTCACCTCTCCCAGGCTGCTCCAGCCCCATCCAGGGGAGATTCCCAGACCACCCTGCCAGGAAATTCCCCAATCCCCCAGGAAATTCCCCAATCCCCCAGGAAATTCCCGTTCCCGGCCGCTTCTCTCTCTCCCATCCCCAATTCCGGGAGGAGAACGCTCCCCAGAAGCGGAGCCGGGGACGGGAGCGGTTCTGGGGCTCTCCGGAGCCCCTCCCGGCCCCGCTCCCCTCCTTTCCCCGCTCCCCCCCGGCCCCCCCAGTCCCGGCCGCTCTTCCCAGCCCGGTCCCGCTAGAGGGCAACAGAAAACCGGGAAAGCGGCGCCGGGAAAGGGCCTGGCAGCCCCGCCGGGCTCGCTCGGCCCGGCCGCCGCCTCCGCGGCACAAACCCCCCGGTGCTCCCGGATCCTGCCGGGATTCACCGGCCCCGCGGCGTTCTGGAGGGATCCGTCACTTTTGTGCTCCCAAAAAAGGCGCAGGAGCCGGGATCTCCCCTGGGATTGAGGAGGAGTCTGGGAACGGCGGGATGGGAAGGGCTGGGGAAGGCTCCGAGGCCAGCGAAGCTCCCCTTTCCCCGAGGAATCCTGAGGTGCCACATCCCCCCGTCCTCCCGTGTCCCCAAGCGCCACCGCGCCAGGGAAGCTGCTCGGGGAATAAACCCCACCCAGCCCCCAGGAATTCCTGCCCCAGGTGGGGTTTCCAGCAGTATTCGGCTTTCCAAGGATTCCAGGAGGAGCCGAGCAGCGCTGCAGGAGCCCGGCCTTGCTGCCCTTCCCCAAAATCCCCTCCCAGAGGAGCCCCGGGGCCGGGCGGGGCTCGGGCCGCTCGTCCTGCCCCACACCGGGAGCCCTCCCGGGAATTCGCTCCGTTTTTAGCTCCCGAAGCAGCTCGGGGAAAGGGGGGATGAGGGAGGGATGTGCAGAGGAGCACAAAGGGATGGAAAGAAAAGGGATTTTCTCCTCAGGGCGGGAGAATCGCGGGTTTGACCCCAGTCCTGCCCACGGGAAGTTAATTCCCGGTATTCCAAGTTCTCCTGAAAGGTGGGAAAAGGAGAACTGCTGCCCTCCATGGGCTAAAAGCCACCGCAGATCCCAAAGCAGCGGCCTCTGGCTCCTTCCTGAGGCATCCCTGACGTTCCTTTGCGGATAAACCGGGGCGGCCGCGGGCTCCTGCCTTTCCCTGGAGGGGGACGGGGCCGAGCGGCCCCAGAGGGCGACGCCGCGACAAGGACAGAGCCGGGGACCCCCGCGGGAGCCCCGAGTCCCCCCTCCCAGTCCCTCCCGCTGTCCCAGCTCTGCCCCAGCCTGGGCCGGTTCTCCCGAGGGAGCGATGGGGACTTTGCCAAAGCCCCCAGGGACCCCCCAAACCCTCAGAGACGCCCTCGGGGGGCTCTGCTGGGCCGCGGGCACCAAAGGGTTACTCCGGAGGTGCCGCTCGGCCCCGGCACCTGGCGGGGAGGCGGGAGCGGGGCTGGAGCGGGGCCGGAGCGGGCGGGGATGGAGCGGGCAGGGATGGAGCGGGCAGGGCTGGAGCGAGCCGGGGATGGAGCGGAGTTTCCCTGAGACTCCGGCGAGGGGCGGCCGAGGGGGCCGGGAGGCGGCGGGGCGGGCAGGGGGACAGGGGAGGGGACAGCGCCGGGGACACGGGCACGGCAGCGGCCGCAGGTGAAGCCGCCGCGCCTCGCCCGGAGCGGGGCGGGAGCTGCCGGGGCCACCATGGGCCGGGGGGGGCCGTAGGGAGCCGCTCCGCAGGGGGACCCCCCCTTCCCCTCGCTGACGCCGGAGGAGAAGGGAGGGAAAGACGGAAAAAGGAGGAAAATCCCAGCGAAACCCTCCCCGAAGCGGAGCCGCGGAGAAGGCGGCGGCGGCGGCTGGAAAATGCATCTTCCTCGGAGCTGCGTCCTCCTCCTCCTCCAGGGCAGCGTCGCGCTGCTGGTGAGCGCCGGGAGGGCAGGGCAGGGGGACGGGGGCTGCGGGGGTCGCGCAGCCACGGGGATGGGGCGTGCGGGCAGCGAGCCCCGAAGCCGCCCCCGCTCCCCTGCCCGCCCCCGGGAGAGAAAAGGCGTCCCAAAACTTCAGTTATTTGGGCGCGGGGAGCGGGCAGGGCTGGCGGGGAGAAGCTCCGGATCAGCGCAGCAATCCGCACCCCCAGCCCCGGGAGGGCTCGGGCAGAGCCGGGCCGGGCCGGCTCCGCTGCCCGGCGCTGCCTCTGCTCCCCGCTGCCTCCTCGGCCAGCCCAGCCCCGGGGTGCCCGGGGCGTTTCTGGGTCCCCCAGCCCCGGGCGATGCGGCTGCAGCCCCCCGGTGCCCTCAGCCCCCCGCGGCAGCCCCGGGATGCGGCGGTTTGGGGGTTCCGGGGGTGCAGCCGGCAGAGGAGCCCGGGGCAGCTCCCCGGGTGACAGCTCCGCTCTGCTGCCCCTTGTCCTGCGCCCTCCCCTGGCCCGGGTGTCCCTGGGGGCACAGGGGGGGCAGGAGCTGTGCCCCGAGAGCGGAGCGGGGCCCGCCCGGCTCCTCGCACCATTCCCGGAGCAGCCGGGAGGGAGCAGAGCGGGAGGGGCCCGAGGGGAAACAGAGACCAGGGGGAAGAGAAAGGGAGCCAGGCTGGGGAAGGGGCTGGAGGACCCTGGGGAAGGGGCTGGGTTAGGGGGACACTGGGGAAGGGGTTGGGGGACAGTGGGGAAAGGGTTGGGCAAGGGGGACACTGGGGCAGGGGCTGGCAGAGCTCGGTGACACTGGGGAAGGGGCTGGCAGGGCTGGGTGGCCCTGGGGAAGGGGCTGGCAGGGCTCGGTGACACTGGGGCAGGGGCTGGCACGGGTCGGTGACACTGGGGCAGGGGCTGGCAGGGCTCGGTGACACTGGGGCAGGGGCTGGCACGGCTCGGTGCCGCCCCCAGCCCGCAGCTCCCCCTCCCCCTGCCCAGGTGTTCTGCGCTCCGGACGGACCCGGCCCAGCCGCGGATCCGGGCGAGCCCCGGGCCCGCGGGCGAGCCCCGAAGCTGCGGGAGCTGCTCTCCCCAAAGCCCCTGGCCAGCCTGAGCCCGGCCCCGCCGCACAGCCGGACCCCGCCGGGGCCGGGCAGCGGCTCCCGGGGGCTCGGGGCCGCCCTGGAGAACCGGGCCGGACCGGAGCGGGAGCCGCGGGGGCAGCGGGAGCCGCGGCCGGCCCCGGGCGGGCGGCAGAAGCTTTTCGGCTGGGGAGACTTCTACTCCAACATCAAGACGGTGAAGCTGAACCTGCTGATCACGGGCAAGGTGGTGGATCACGGCAACGGCAGCGTCAACGTCTTCTTCCAGCACAACTCCACGGGCCACGGCAACATCTCCGTGAGCCTCGTGCCGCCCAGCAAGGCCGTGCAGTTCGACCTGGAGCAGCAAATCTTCATCGAGGCCAAGGAGTCCAAGGTGTTCAACTGCCGCGTGGAGTCGGAGCAGGTGGCCCGGGCCAGGAAGACCTCGCTGTGCACCTTCGACCCCGCCAGGACGTGCTCGCAGGAGCACACGCGGAGCCGCGCCGCCTGGCGCTGCTCGCAGCCCTTCCGCGCCGTGTGCGTCTACATCACCTTCTACAGCAGCGACTACCGCCTGGTGCAGAAGGTGTGTCCCGACTACCACCGCCACAGCCAGCGGCCCTACTTCCCCTCGGGGTGAGCCCCGCGCCGCCGCTCCCGGGCTGCGAGTCTCGGGATTCCCCGGGCAGAGATTCCTGGGATTCCCTGGGCAGCGATTCCGGGGACAGCAACTCCTGCCATTCCCGGGCTGCGATTCCCGGGATTCCCCGGGCTGTGATTCCTGAGATTCCTTGGGCAGAGATTCCTGGGATTCCCCAGGCCTCGATCCCGGACCGCGATTCCCGGGCAGCGATTCCCCAGGATTCACGGAGCCACGATTCCCGGGCAGAGATTCCCGGGATTCCTGGGCCATGATTCCCGAGCAGAGATTCCCAGGGCAGCACTTCCCAGGCAGCGATTCGCGGCACAAACGGAGCCACGATTCCCGGGCAGAGATTCCCGGGATTCCTGGGCCATGATTCCCGGGGTTCTGCAGGCACCGAGGGCGGGGGGAAGGGATTCGGGTGGCTTTGGAGCAGGGGATGCTCCCTGGAATGGCAGCAAGGAAGAGGAGAATTCCCCGTTTTCCCCGTTGGGAAGAGCGGCAGCGGCGGCCCCGGGATCAGCAGAGCCGGGATGGGAGCGAGGGCTGGGTTTGGGATGTGGAACAGGCCAGAGCCACGGCCGGGACTCGAGGGATCGGCTGGACTGGGGCTGGTGATTCCTGAACGGGGCTCCGGGGGAAGGGTCCAGCCCCTGGAGGCCGGGAGAGCTCGGGAAAGGGGAAAAGCCACTGGCGGAGCCACTGTCCCCGGGCAGATCCCGGTCTGCAGGAGCAGGGGGGGAGTTCTCCCATCCCAGAGGCTCCCGGGGCTGCATTCCCGGGCGGAGCAATCCCGGCGGAGCGGGCACAGCGAGGGACCCACCGGCTGATTCACGCCCTGCTTCCCCTCCATCCCCTCCCGGATCCCAGCCCCGATCCCTGCCCCGTCCCGACCCCTGCCCCGCTCCCGGTGCCGCCGCTCCCGGGCAGAGGGCTGGGATCGGGAGCAGCTCAGGGCCGGGATTTCATTCCCAGGGAAGGAACGGGAACGCCCCGCGCCGCCCCGGGCAGGGAATAAAGCGCTCACGGTGGCACCGAGGCACAGCCGGAGTTTTTTGTGGAAGAGGGAAAACAAAGACTGGGGTTGGGAATGATGGGCACGATCCAGGCCCCAGTCCAGCTCCTTCCTGGGAATGGGCTCCAGCTTTCTGGCTCCCAGGCTCCCTTTATGTGGGCATTCCCAATTTCCTCCCCCTCCCCAGGAATCCAAACCTCAGACTCTCCTTTTTGTGGTATTCCCGATTTCCTCCCCTTCCCCAGACATCTGATTTCAGTCTCTCACCTATTTGGGCATTCCCAGCTCCTGGGTATTCCCAACCTCCTCCCCTTCCCAGCCATCCAAACTTCCGTCTCCCACTTCCACTGGCACATTCCCTCCTCCAGAAAGGACCAAAAAAAGCCACTTCCCTTCCCTTTCCCCCCACATTCCTGAATCCAGAGCACCAGGCCAACTCCAAAAATTCCTTCCCCCCCTCACAGTACAGGTCCTGCCCCAGAGCAGGGTTTGTACTTCCCAAAATTTGTTTATTCCCAAAATAAATCCCTTCTCCAGAGCTCGGGGAGGGCTTTGCTGGCTGCTGGCAGAGTTTCAGGATGAGCTCCCACATCCAGCCAGGAGCTGCTTCCCAAAACCCAGGGAGCTTCCAGAATCCATGAAGAGACTTTTCCTCACAAAGCCCCAAAAGTTGGGAAAAGCTCTGGGAAATTTCACCTTTCCAGGAAATAACGGGAGCCAGGTTTGGATTGAGGAGGGGAGGGAGGGGAAATGTGGGGAACTAAAAACATTCCCGAAGGACTCAGGTTTGCGGGAGGGAGGAGACACAAAAATCGTTAAAATCTCATTGAGGCAACACCAAAAAAAAAAACCCAAAATAAAAAAAAAATCCCAGCACAAAAGTTGGAGAAATTGCAGAGAATCGGCGGCGGGAGCAGCCCCGGGAGCAGGAGGAGGCTCCAAGGATGCGCGGCTGCCGGAGGGATGGGAGCGCGGTTTCTAAGGAGACCAGGACGGGCCATTATTCCAGCCTGGAGAGGAGAATGGAGAATTCCTGCTCCTGGAGCCGCGCGGGAGCCGGGGAGGAGCTGCAGGACCAGCAACGCCCGGGGGAAAATCCGCGCATCCCAAAGGCGTCCCCGGAGCCGCGGGGAGGCGAAGCGGGGCCGAGCATCGCTGGGATCGCCGGGGCTGCGCTGCCGGCCTTGGGTCCCGGAGTTATCCCGGATTTCCCATCGCGGCTGGTGTCAAACATTCCCGCTTTTCCAGCCGGTTCTGGGATTGTCCTCCCTGCCATGACGGCACAGGACAGAGCTCTCCCGGGAAGGAGCTGCCACCACCAACCTGTCCCCGTGCTTGGAGGGAAAACCTCGGGAATCCCATCCCAAAGCCGCTCCCAGCATCCAGGGGTGGATTTAAGGGAGGGAAGGAAAGGAAAGGAAGGGAGGAAGGGAGGGAGGGAGGAAGGAAGGGAGGAAGGGAGGAAGGGAGGAAGGAAGGGAGGAAGGAAGGAAGGAAGGAAGGAAGGAAGGAAGGAAGGAAGGAATCCCAGGTGCTCCCACACAGTTGCATTCCCCAAGGACTGGGATGCAGGAAGAGGCTGGATGGCTCCTGCCAGGTTTTCCATGGCTGTGGGGCTTTTCCAGCTCCAGGGGCTCCTCCCGAGGGCTGCAGGAGGTGCCTGCATCCCCTGGGATCAGGGAGCAGCTCCTGGGAGCTGGAACCAGCACGGAGCATCCCGGTGCTGCCGGGACCCAGGGGCAGGAGAAGCAGCGGGATAACGGGAGAGGGAAATCTGGCAGCACGGAAAACACAGCTCAGACCTGGAATGAAACAACAGGGAAAGCTGTCAAGGCCAGGAATGGAAAACTCATCCAGCCCAAATCCCTCCGGACTCCAGGGGCTCAGCAGAGAATTCCCAGCTCAGATCCCAGCCCTGCTGCAGAGCAAACGCCGTCAATAATTCAGGACGGGCTCGGGAGCTGCGGAACGGCCCCGAGGGGCCGGCAGGGAGCAGCCCCCGCCCCAGCCCAGGGGGCTCCCGGGCCTGGGAGCTGCTGCTCCCACTTCCCGTGGCTGTGGGAACCCGGGAATGCCTCGGAGGACAAAGCAGGGAGGGGGAAGGGTCCCGCATTCCCAGGCTTTTCCAATGCCTCTGTTCCAGAGTGGTCACTTCCATCCAGGGGATTTCCCACGGGAGGGAAAATCCCACTGTGGGGGGGGAACAGCCCAGAGTGGGAGGGAACCCCGAGCTCCAGGCACGGGGCTCGGCAATGTCGTGTCCTGTTCAGGAAAACAATTCCAACGGCAAAGCCGGGGAAGGGAGGGCGCTGGAGGAGATTCCTGATGGATTCTGTGCAGGGAATGACGGACAAACGAGGGTGAGGCAGTGCCGGAGCACCCCGGGGCCCTGCTGTGCCTGTGGAGCAGTTTGGCATCTCCTGGTGCTTTCCAAACCTTTGGAATTGCAGCCTGCTTTTAACTCTGCTCCCTCTCCTCACCACGGGATCCAACACATCTCCCTGGATGCTGAAATTCAGCCTGGAATATTCCCATTCCCATTCCATCCCTGTTCCCATTTCCCATTCCGTTCCCATTTCCCATTCCCATCCCCATTCCCATTTCCATCCCAGTCCCTTTCCTTTCCCATTCCCCTTCCATCCCCATTCCCATCCCATTCCCTCCCCGTTCCCATTTCCCATTCCCACTCCCATCCCCATCCAATTCCTTTCCCTTTCCCATTCAATTCCCATCCCCATCCCCATTCCATTTCTTTCCCATTCCTTTCCCTTTCCCTTTCCATCCCCATTTCCTTTCCTTTCCTTCCCTTCCCATCCCATTCCCTTCCCATCCCATTCCCTTTCCTTTCCTTTCCTTTCCTTTCCTTTCCTTTCCCCCATTCCCCATTCCCAGCTGTTTTTTCCCAGAGCCATTCCTGGATTTTCCCTCATCCCAGCCCCGCTCCCCTCGGATTTTTCCAGGATTTTGGGATGCTCCAGCACTTTCCAGGGTTCATCCCAGCCCTGGGTCTCAGCAAACGTTGGGATCTTTAATTAACGCCCTCCTTGGCTCGCCGGGCTCAGCCAGATGGAGCGTAATTTAATTAGGAGGTTTTAATTACCCACAACGGCAGGGTTTGCAAGCCACGGGCACGAGCGCGAGGTTTGGGATCAGCCCCAATCCCCCGGGATGCAGGAGTGCTGCTCACTGCTTCCCAAAAACGGCTGGACCTGATCAGAATTCCAAGGAATTTTGGCCACACCCAAACAAATCCATTGGGAAACTCCTTCCATCCCCAAAATCCTCAGCAGGGGCTGTCCCAGTTCTCCCAGTCTGCCCAGTTCGTCCCCCACCAGCTGCAGGGAATCCTTGCTTTTCCTGCTGTTCCCGGGGGAATCAGGGATCCGGGGAGCTGCTGCAGGGAGCAAGAGGAGAATGATAAAGAAATTAAAAAAAAAAAGATAAAATCAGCAAAATAATAAAAAGAAAATGTGTCAATATGGAGTAAAAATAAAAATAAGAGTAAAAATAAAAATAAGAGTAAAAATAAAAATAAAAACAACAATAATAATAATAACAACAATAACAACAATAATAACAATAATAATAATAATAATAATTCCAAGAGAAGCCCTCGGTGCCATCCTCTCCTCATTCCGTGCCATAATTCCCCTCTTCTCCCCAGCCCTTCCCAATTCACTCCCTCAATTAACGCAGCTCCTCCAGGGATTTGAATAATTCAGTCCCACGGATGGAACCCGATGGAAGGAGCAGCAGAAACCCCAATTCCACTGGAACCAAAAGCGGGCTGGATTTCCCTGCCCACGCTTTGCCCAGGAAACTTCAAAAAGCCAAATCCTACGGAGCTGCTCCTGCTTTATTTATCCAGTTTATTTTCCAAAAGCCTCCCAGGTCATTTATTTCCCCAATTATTTCATGTGCTGCTCTTTTTTTTTTCCCTGTTTTTTTTCCCCAGTTTCTTTTTCCTGCCCCACTCTCTCCCCCTTTTTGTGCATCCACAGCACCCCCAGCTTTAAATGAAATGAAATTAAAATTAAATTTATATTTATATTTCAATTAAATTTAAATCAAACACACCCAAGGATCTGGGATTGCCAAATTTCCTGCAGCCTCAGCCTGGAACTGCAGCCAAGGAGCAAAGTGGGCAGCAGGTCAGGAAAGAACAAATAAACCCAACCAAACCCTCTCTAATTAAATGTCCTCATATTAAATTAACTCCAAAAAAAGTC